ATCATAAACATGCAGTGCTCAAGAACACAGCCTTAGATTTTAGTTGAGGGCTTGCCTGTGGGTATTTGATAAAGTTTAAGAAGCTCTGCTTCCAGCACCCTTAGACAGCAGCTGCCTCAATAATTAATTGAACGCTCAAAGGCTTTTCCTTTTTTGCTGTTGCCTGTCTGAATATGCCACTGGGCAGAGAATGGTCACATTCCCTTTGCAGAGCTTTGTCAGGCCATGCAGGCTAAGGCAGAGCTTTGCAGGGCATTGATTAATAACTACTGATGGCCCCAACAGCTGGATCAACACAATGAAAGAGAGCAAGTGTCAGAACTGCTCTCCTCCTGCCTCTGCAGGGAGAGGGAGCCATGGGCTGCCCTGTGGAGAAGGAACCCAGGACAGGTAGGTCAGGGCTGGTCACCAGGAGTTAATGCAGGACAAAGCTGTAGGAAGCAGCCCCTGCCTGCAGGTTCCTGTGTGCTTCCCAGCAGCATTCCTCTTTGGTGGAGCCTGATTGCTGATTAAGGCCACTCTGATGAGTTCATTAGCAGAGGAATCCGGAGAGATATTTTCTCCGGGGGTGTGAGGTTGGTCCCATTGTGAAATTCTTCCTCAGCAGCAGCTGTCTGAGATGCAGAAACAAAGAGCAGAGCCTCCCTCGAGGCCACTGGCTGGAGCAGTGACAGGAACACAATCTGGGGTCGAAGGAACCGAAACTCTGGGTGGGACACTGCACTGGAGAGCCACTTCATTTGTGTGTGTGGTGTAGACATGTAGCCCAGCTCTGTGCACTTGGGGAGAGGGGGGCATCCATGGCTGCCTGGACACATCCACAGTCATCTCCCTTTTAATTACTCCTTAGAAAGTCATCTCTGCCTTTTGCACCCAGATGTGGTTGAGCTGGAATGTGAGGTGGTGCTTTCACTTGCAGCTGGATCTGGAGAACTGTGCTCTTTGAGGCTGGTCCTGTTGTGAAACTCCTTTGGGTCATTATAGCCAAATCTGAAATGTTGATACTTCCATATCACCCAGCACATCTTAGGTAAAGCTTCAGGGGAAGAAGGCTCTGCTCAGACAGGCCCTAGGACTGCAGCCTGCAGTGTAGGCAGCTCTTGCCCTCAGGAGCTGAGAGCTCTCAGTCAAGTGAAAGCTATGATTTGTGCTTTAATGCCTGGGCATTAATGCCCTTGCTGCGTAATAGAGGAGTAGCACTGATGGAGTGTTCAAGAGCTGATGTTACCTCAGAGTTGTGATCATCCCAGGAGAGCCTGTGTGACACCTGCCTGTGCTGCAGACTGAATCCAACCCATGTAACTCCAGCTCAGGGATAAATAACCCTGACCTGCTGCAGAGATGGTGGATGTGGCTGATGGTGGAGCTGTGCTGGATTTGGCAGAAGTGCAGAGTGGTAACCAGGCAGCACTTGGGGCTCCCTTTAGCTCTGCCCAAGTTGCAGGAATGCTGAGCTGTGGAGTGAAGCCAATGAGCAGGGGGAGAGGCAGTGCTTTAGCCCTCCTGCCAACTGCCACTTGCATTGCTCACATCCTGCACTTTCATGAGGTTCTTCTCTTTTATGTCTTTTTTTTCACTCATTTCCTAGAACTGTGTGGGGTTTGAGCGTCGGGCCCTGGCACAGACTGTGGTGCTGCCTGTCTCTGTGTGTGCTGGTGGCAACAGGAGCTGCCACGGTGCCTCAACTGACCCTCCTGTGTCCCCACACACTGGCAGGGACACCACCAAGGGGATTTTTCCTCATTGTGCAACAAGCAAATGCCTGGAGATGAGGGCAGCGGAAGGAAATCTCGTGGCATCTCAGGGCCAGGAGAGCACCCCCGTGCCTGGCTGGGCTGCAGCTGGCCAGGAACAGAGGCACCTTTTTCTCTTAGTCTTTGGATTTTAGATTCTGCCTTATTAGGCAGAAGCTGTGTTCTGTTCTTGCCATCTAGGTCAGGATGGGGGAACGCTAAACTCAGCCCAAATCTGGCAGTGTCTGTCTGTGGCTTCCCCCCCTCCTCAAAGGAAAACACTTCTGAAGGAAAGGCACCATCGGAATACTTCATCTTGGAAAAAACAATCAAAGGGGCTAGAGGAAAACAAACTTATCACAAGTGAAACAAACTCAGCCTGGACTACAAGGAGGACCCAGGGTAAAGGCCAGACTGAAAAAAGAGTGGTTTCCACTGAAATGGGAATGTGTCCCGGATCTGCTGGGACTAAGGGGGATTTTGAGACATAGAAACTTTTGTGGGAGAGCCTAAACTGGATGTTACCTGTTGGGCAAAGGGTGCAGAGAGAGCTTCAGGGGGCAGGAGAAGGCTCCCCTTGGAAGTGCAGCTCTGGACTGGGAGGGACAATGTTCCTCTGGAGGGGCTTGGAGTGGCAGGGATGTCCTGGAGGGGAGCAGCACTCTGCAGAGCTCCACTGGCTTTGCAATTTTTTGTGTTTATCTTTGGATTTAGGTGTGTGTGAGCCACAAATCCAGCCAGAGTCTAAAGCCTGGTGTGAGAGAGGGGTGTGTTGTGCCCTCAGAGCCCAGGGTGTGCAGTGTGCAGATCCTTCCCCTGCCACAGGAGAGGGCAGAGCAGTTGGCCCTTAAAGTAGCTTTCTAAAAGCTATTTTCCAGTCTTGAAGAAACCAAAAGAGAAATAATAATAATCCATAGGCTGGCTTTCCTATATCCTGCAGTCAGGTCCAGCAGCTCACAGATTGCTTGTCTGTTTATCTGTGGTGGAACAAATGCTTCCCTCACCCCTTTGCCTGCACCCCGTGCCCCTGGTGCAGCAGGAATACGCCTCAGGACCAGCCTGGCAGGGGAACAGCATGTGGGAAAAGGAGGCAGTGCTGTTCCCAAACCAGAGATGGAGCAGGGAGGCTTCTTCTCTGGAGACTTCAACTTTGTTTATTCAGACAAATCTGGATTCCAGTAGCTGCAGCTGGTTTTGGGAGCAGAACAGCAAGAGCCTTTGCAGCCTCCAGCCACTGGAGGTGGTTAGAAAAGGAAAGGCCTCACTGCAAGTGCTCCCTGCTGCTCTCCTTCCATCCCCAGGCCTGTGGTGGTTCTGGATCCACAACTGGGCTTTGTGTGACGAGAGAGTCTTTGTCATCTTCACCAGTCTGCCAGTACTGGGGCAGGGAGCTCACTGGAGGGGCTGGCAGCTCACAGGGAGATCAGGGATCGTGCCACTGCCCTTCTCCTGGTCCCTTGGCAGCAGACAAGTCACTGGAGCTGGGGGTCTGTGCAAGCAGAGGTGCAGGAGCACTTCCTTACCTGTGGGGAGAGAAGCTTGTAGAGAGCATGGGGAACCTGAGGAGCCTCAAGGTTACCTGGGTCACTGCAGTGTTTGGGGACACTTGTACTGTGACACCTGCCAGCTGTGAGCTGGGAATCATTGGTGGGAGGGCTCAGTCCAGGTCCGGGTTGAGCAAGATTGTTTAAAAGGGAATGCTGCCTCTGACCCCTTGGCTGCCTTTGTTTCAGGTCCTTGGGAGCTCAGGCAAATTCTACACCTGCTACAGCTCCTGCCACTTCTGCACGTGTCCTGCTTTCGGGTTCTCTGTGTTGCAGAAGAGAGAGAGCCTTCTGGTGAGTTCTCTGCCTCAGCCTGGGGCCAAGACAGGGAGCAGGGGAGAAGGCTGTGCTCTGCTCCATGAGCAGCCTGAAAGTTCCAAGGGAGCAAACACAAGTGTTGAGTTGGCCATGCAGGCTGAGCCTGACCCACTGTGTGACTGGCCTCTGAGAGCTGCAGTCGGTGGGGGGACTAGGGCTGGGGAGGGCTTTTGTTGTTCATTATGCACTCCTGTTCTGACTTCCAAGAGATTTATAATCCCCATTCTCCTGGGACAAGGGCTTGTGCCACTCATGGAACCGCCACATGGAATCTGGCTGATGGAGGGGTGCAGTTCTCCTGGTGCCAGTGAGGAAGGGCTCAGCTGGCTGCAGTTGTGGGGAGGGTGTCAGGAGCCAGGACACATTCCTGTGTCACATCCCTGCGTTACATTATCCTGGTGGCAGAACTGGGGCAAACAGCACCACCTGTGCCAGGGCTTGGCATGCCAGGAGGGGACCATGTGGTTTATTAGACCCATTCTGGCCAGGATGGATCCCTGGTCCAGGCAGAGCACGACATTCCCGTTAACTTTGCAGTGCAAACACATACTCGCCATCTACCTCAGCCAGGCCATGGGAGCCTGCCAGGAACTCACCGTCTCTGAGGAGCAGCTCACAAGCATCTTGCTGGCTGAGAAAGAGGAGGAAGGATGAAGGATTTGGATCACATGGGGTTGTACTTTCTGTGTACCCTCCTGGAGGTGTAGCTGGCATTTTTCGTATCTGCAAGGCTGTCAAATGCTCGTGGTGGCTGGCAGATTTCTTACTGTGCTGCAGCCAAGCGTGACATTAATTAGCAGCTTTGCACTGATAAATTAATTAATAAATGTTAAGAAGCCCGTGTTGACTTCCGTTTCATTAATTAGTCTGTTCTTGGGATTTCTGAAGATGTTTTAACTAATCTGTAATATCGTGTGCTTGTGATGTGGGGATGCAAACGCTCCAGCAGGTCTCTTAGTGATCCTCAAATTAAGGAGCTGCTGTGGCTCTTTGCATGTGGCTGCTCAGAGCAATTTCTGATCCATCACTGTCAAACCTGTACCAGGGACTAGGGCAGGGGGACCCCAGCAGCTCGAGACTGATGACAGGTCTGTGCTTCTGCTGTAACACAGGATCTTTGGAAGCATCACCCTGGTTGCTGTGCTTTAAATTGACCCTTTCCAGACAAGTCAACCCCCTCGTGCTGGTGAGCAAGGCAAGGCTCTCCATGACGGGCACGGGGGGAAGGACACTGCTGCTTCCCAATCCTCATACCAGCCAGTGAGCTGGGAACCAGCTCCTTCCAGCTCTGGCTCCCTGCCCACGCCCTGTCCTCCTCGAGTGCAGTGTGGCCTCGTATGAGACACCGTGTGAACGCGTCACCACGAGAAATAATGGGGCACAGGCTGAGCCAGGTTGTGTGGGTGGTAAATTAAGCATTCTGTATGTAAATAACAGTTACTGCAAATACAAAATCTGAGCAACATGAGGAAAACACATCCATCTATGTACATCAGAGCAGTGAGGAGTGACAGCTGAATGGTTTCAGCTGCACTTGCTACAGAAAGTTCCTCGGCCATTTTTACTTCACATTTTTATAGAAACCTTCAGAGCTTTTTTTATTTTGGGGGGGGGGGCAAGGGAAGTGTCCTATTTTTATTTTGCCTTCAAATGTCTTTGGCTCAGATCCACAAAGACACTTACTGTGCTTAATGACCGTGGTGACCTGGGCCACAGTGAATGCCTGACACCCCGGCAGCACAGTCGGATACACCGCACCCGTCTGCAGGAATTCTGGCCCATAAGAGGCAGATGAAGGTAGCAGTTGTGGATGCTGAGCTGCAGTGCAAGCTGTCACATACAACAAGTGTCCTGGGGCCTCCTCTTTTGGTTTTACAGCACTGTGAGTTTCAGTCTGTTCGTGCTGTCCAGAATTTGGTTTGTTTTCAGCCAGCAGAAGGGAGAGATTACGTCCTTTGTTGTAAGAATAAATGTGGCTCTCATCCACTGTGCAACACTGCCAGACCTGCAGGTGAAACCCTGCTTGTTTCCAGCCGTGATTAACAGAAGGAACACAGCCAAAGATAACACAGAAGGGAAGGAATGAGCGGAGGAGAGAGTCAGACCCTGCCCAAATGGCAGGAGGTGGCTACATGTGTCAGCTGGACTGTGACCAAGGCAGATGCAGCAAAGCTGAATGGGGCTGTTAAAGGAAAAGCACTTGGGACAGTAACTTTAACTGTTCAGATTCTTCTTGGAAATGCATATATCTGAGATACTGAGCTGTAGCTAAATTTGGACGTTGCATAAATATGTACAAACCCATTCAGATCTTACTGGTGATTCACCCAGGTTTGGGGTTGGCTCTCAGGGCCGAGCTGCTACACATGGTATTGAAATCCATCACTCCCAGGGAACCATTCCCTGTGCATGGTGGGCCCTAAGTCATTCCTGCAGCTGCTGCCTGCAGGTCTTGCCAGCTGGCAGAGCAGATGCTGCAGGAACAAGATTTCTTCAGATCAGCTTTTCAACTGATTTTACACCGTATTTGTCATTATATTTGCCAGAGAAGTTAAATTCTTGGGGTCTTGTATTAACCCCCTTTTAGTGCAACACAGTTAAAAAAAATATATGATTCAAGTACAATTTTTCAGGGGCAAACTGCCCATCACGCATCACTGTCTGTCCGCTGGACCTGTTCTTCAGGAACTGGCTGTGTTTAAACTTCCTTCCCCGCAACCTGGCTCCAGAAGTCCTGCTCCCTCTCTCTCCCTGTGTGAGTTACTGCTGAAAACCACATTTAACACCAGTCCTTGCACTCCAGCTCCTCACCAGTCACACGGTGGTGCTGCTGGCACCGAGTGCTTCGGAGGGAGATGGAACCTCCAGGCAAGACTCCCATTTGTGAGAGGGCCACAACGTGATGGCAGGTCTGAGCTAGTCAGGAGCAGCTGCATCTCTGCACCACGATCAGCTTGTTCTTCAGAAATTACTGCACTGCTCTCTCTGCCTTGGTCTAGTTTTGGATATCACAGTTACACGTTAAATTGGGGCAGTAATTACTGAGCTGTGGTTGCAGAGAGTTATTAACCCGCAGTATAATTAAGACTGCTCTGCTGCTGAGTGGGCTTGGGACTCAGAGTGAGGGCCAGGACACCTGGCCAACTACAGAGGCCAGGCTAGACAACCTGTGAGAGCTTGGCCAAAATCAGGTCACAAGCCATGGCAATCTAGCTTCTCACACACATTAGCACTTTAGCTCCCTTCCTGTCTCTTTTTGTTACTGATGCAGGTCAGCATTAGAAAAAAATAAAAATATAAAAATTACTATTAAAACAAACAAACAAAAAAGTATTCACAGCTTCTGGGGGTTACAGGGCTGCAGAGGATGCCAAGCCAGATCGAGCTTTAGGGACCAGGTGAGCTGCACATCCAGCTCTCACAGCTAAAACCTGCACTTCTGGAAGCACTGCAAGGATGGCAAATTTTGACTTGGGAGCAAAAATCTGATTGTAGAGGTCATGTCACCAAGTCAGAGTGGCACTGACCTCAGTGACTCTGGATCAGACCAGCCAAGATCATTGGGGCACCTCTGCCTTCTGCATTTGGACATCTGGAAACAGACCTGAAAGCAAACCTGAAGCTTTGGGCTGCACAACCCTGTAGACCAAAGTGATTTAAAGGCCGTGAGACTGCTGTTCTAAAACCTTGGTCAACTCTTTTTTCAACTCTTTCAGTAAGCAGGGTTTTCATGCTGGGGCCAGAAATAGCTGGCCAGTTCTGATCTGGTTTTCCCATCCACACAGTCCCTCCCCTCAGAGCCTGGAACACAGATTCCATTTCACACCAGCAACTGGGCTAAGTAAGACTTTTTCCCATCGGAGAATACTAGCTGCATCAAACAATTGATGGAATAATTAGGGTATTACCAAAGAGCTTTCAAGTATGGACTTAGAGAACAACTCAAAAACAGACACAAAATTATTACTCCTAAATGAATCAAAATATTAAAAAATAATAATAACAATAATAATAATAATTAAAATAAAGATCCTATGACTTGACATGAGCAGCACAATTAGGGGAAACACCCCCAGCAGGTGAATCTTCCCCCAGTCAACGTCCGACCTGGAAAGGAAACGCGACACGATCACCGGCACTCCCACCCCGGGGTGATGGTGGAGGGTGAGCTGCACTCAGTGTCCCCCGTCAGGTTACTCCTCCACGAGGCACTGTGTTCATTACAAAAATAAAATAAAAAAGACAGCTGCACATCTGCATAGTGGTCATCTCCGAGCACCCCCTCGGAGCCCGCCGTGGCCGCTCACACGGGCACGGGGACGGGGAGCGCCGGGCACGGGCTGGGAATCCCAGGAGCAGGACCTGCAGGGTCATATGGTCACCGAGGCCACTGGGCAGTTAATGTTGGTGACAGTCAAGTGCTGGTTGTTGTCAGTGGTGCCCTTGGGGAAGTCGTCCGTCTTGCAGAGGATCTTGGAAATGATCTTGCGGAAGGTGTAGCGGAAGTCCCTGATCCTGTAGGCGTAGATGATGGGATTGATGACGGAGTTGGCGTGGGAGAGGATGATGGCCACATACATCACCCACTCGGGCTTGGATTTGGAGAAATCCTCGTGGAAGAGCGTGATGCAGTTCAAGATGTGCAGGGGCAGCCAGCAGAAGGCAAAAAGTCCTACAATGATGGCCAGAGACTTGGCCGCGTGCACCTCCTTCTGCAGCGTGGTCCTGGAGTTGCCCATCAGTTCGATCTGGTGCAACTGTTTGCAGGCCACCATGAATATCTTGATGTAGATCCCCAGCATGATGACAAGTGGCAGCAGCACGCAGCCGAAGAAGTTGAAGTACACCATGTAGCTCATTGTGACCACGTTCTCAAAGAGGCAGGAGATGAAGCAGCCGTGGTGCTCCGTCCCCGGGTCAGCCCCTGTCTCGTTGGTGGCGTTGGGACAACCACTCATGGCTTTGTTCCAGCCCATTAGTGGAGTCAGTCCAATTCCAAAGGACAGGAGCCACAGCACGGCGATGAGTCCTCTTGCCCTCTTGCCAGTCACCAGGCTGTTATACCTACAGCACCCAGAGCAAAACCAGGATAGAGACATTAAATAAACGAGCACTGGTGACTTCCCTGCTGTTAAAGTCATCAGCACTTTGGCTAATGAGACAAAAGCCACACCCACACCCGCAGGAGCCTCACCTCTGTGATCACTGGAGGGGGTAAAAAATCTCACCTGTGCTCTCCACCTCCGCAAAGTGATTTGGGGGTTGACTCATTTACTATTCCTGAGAGGCACCAGGCTCTGCCCCAGCCCACAAACAGCCTTCAATAGGAGGGAAAGGTCTTGGAGTCTTAAAAAAGGCTTTATCATTGCATGAGCCTGAACCACCAATTGCCAGGAGGGCACGAACAGGGGAAGGCTCACTCTCTAACTAGTGTCCTCTCCTGCCCTGAGCTGCCACTGCTCGCACGCCAGGACACGCTGCTGGGCTACACCAACACCTGGGCTGTCCTCGTCCAGCTGAGGCAATGCTGGTGCTCAAATCTGCACTGCAGTACCCCATGTGTTGTGGAGAAGCTCTGCTGTGGCCCAGGGACAAGTTGATGCAGTGCTGAGGGTGCAGTCACACACTACCCCACACCTTCCCTAACCCCACAGACTGGGTGTCCTCATGGCCCCTCCAGCCCCCACGATGCTCAGAGACACAGAGGTGGAACCTAAAGCTTCAAAATCAAGCTGGTTTGGGTGCAACCAGAGCAGATGCCAGCGTCAAAGCATCAGTCGGATCACTCTTTGGAGAGGGGAAGGAGCAGTGACTGCCAGAAAGACAACATGAGAAACCCATTCCTGTCCCCTGCACAGCCAGTCAGTGTCTGCTGGCTCGCACACGTCCCCTCCTTCCCACACCCTTCTCTCAGTGCTTGTTTACTCTGGCTTGGCTACCCTGCTCCTCCTTTGCTAAGAACGTTTGTTCTGATTTTCTTCCGGCCCGTGAGGCAGGGGAGGGTTTTATTCCCACAGATCCACAGCTGTGCCTGTGAATCACAACTCCAGTCGGCTCCGTGTGAGCCGAGCGTCCCACTCCTCCTGGAGATAGAGAGACAGGAGGGGAAAGGGAGGGGTCTGCCAGGACATACCAGGGGGCAAAGAGGGGTTGGGGAAGCCCTTGAGTCCTTCTTCAGGCACAACCAGGGCTGGCTGGGAGGATGCAGGAGCAGCAGCCACATTTAGGCGCTGCTGAATTGTGACCACACTCTGTGGGTAGATGTCTAAAGGGCAGGTCCAGCCACGGAGGGGCTTCTCCTGCACTTTTCTCTCATTATTACTAAGTTTCACTACTTCAGAAGATGACAAGGTATCAGATAGGGCATCAGTGAGGCCAAGCCTGTTGCTTTTGAAAGCCCGTGTTAAGTTTTCAGAAATTGGAGCCGTTTCGGGGTTGTGGGGCCTGAGAACATTAAGAGTTGATTCAGAGCAACTTCCCAGAAATCCAATCTCTTGGCAAAGTCTCAGTCTCGAGCTACAATATTGGCCAGGCTCAGTCAGTGCTGTAGAGGAACCAGGAGCTGCTGCTGTCCTGCAGCTCTGCACGTGGAAAGGGAAAACGGCAGCTCCTTGGCTTGTCTAAGCCATGCCTAGTTGGTCTCTTCAGTTGTTCCTTTGCTCCATCCCAAAAACTATTGTAGTGAGACTGGAAAATGTGAAGGGACCGTTGTCAGAAACAGAAACTGAGGCCAGGGTTTTGTGTTCTCAGGAACAGAAGGGAAGCCTCAGTGTGCCATGCTGAGGTTGGTGTCCACCGTGTCACTCCAGGCTGGTGACATCCAGTGCTGCCTCTTCCTGACAACACATGACCACATAAGGCTTGTTCCATCTGCTCTTCTCCTGAACTCTTCTGCAAGGATGAGTTGGCTTCAAGGTTTACAAAACTGGTTAAGTAGGCACTTAATAAGTGGCTGTGACAGTGGCCTGTTTATTTTAGTGCCGCTCACCGTCCCTGGCACACACAGCAGAGCCAGGATCACATTCAAGCAGGGGGCCCTGTGTGACAGGATGTAAAAATATTCTGGGCTCCCAGTCTGCAGCAGCCAGAGCTGAGCAGTGGGGAGGGCTGGAGGCCTCTCAGCACAGGGCAGAGATGGTGTTCAGCTCAGTGGAGATATTCACAGTGAACAACTGCACTCCTCAGATTAGCTCCTTATTTTCACGGAATTTGCATTGCAAATTCCTCCCAGCATCTCTCCATTCAGCTGATGGCAGGGACTGAGGGTGGTCACTGCTGTGGCCTCCCAGAAGGGTCTGTGCAAACCCCTGGACCAGGCTGAGCCACCAGCCAGAAAAGGCCAAGGTGGGAATAGCCTGATGTTCTAGACTTGCTCACTAGTCACCTTGTTATTACCTTAATACACTTATTTGGTGGGACGCTGCCCTAAGTGAACAGAAGTTAAGCATGTGCTTAAAATAAAGTGCATGACTGCCACCAGATCCAGGTGTGAAGAGTCTCATAAGCCACACAACAGAGCAACCCCATCATAAACCTTCATCAGCAGTGGGCAGGAGCTGTGAGACAGCTGAGCTGGGACTCAGCTCCTCCCTAAGCACTATAAACACGGTCAGACAGTGAGGAACCAACAGATTTTCACACCTCTGAATGCTCCAGCAAACCTCTCCTTCATTCTCTTTCAGGCTTAATATTATTATGTAAAATACTACTAAAGTAAATTTGCTCACCTAAGTCTGCTCAACTAATGTATAACAAATATTGAATCACCTCTGTGTTTCTGCCCAGAGGCATCAAATGCTGCTTTAATGTAAATAACAGCTGAATATTTTAAAATGATTTATTGAGATCAAATAACCTGGCAATGCATTAGTTCCTTTTACACCACCAGGCAAAGCCTCTTTACTGGCTTAATCACCATGAAGGTGCTAATTACGTCCTTGTGACAGGAAGAACTGTACCTTGGCCACCAGTGTCACAGGCACAGAAGCCCCTCTGCAGTCACCCCGGGGAGGTCACCCAAGCAGAGGCCCTGCTGCCCCTGAGCTCCATCAAGCGAGGAGTGAAAGCACCAGCCAAGGAGGAATTTGGCATTTGGGGTGATGGACTTGGGGCAGAAAACAGCAACAGCCTAGAATGGGACCGTTATTCCCACATTATTTATCTCAGAGAGCAGGAACGGGGGCCCATCCTGCCTGTCCACAGAAGGGTGAACAGATCAGAACACTGTGGTGCCACAAAGCCACTCTCCTGTCCATCCTGGTCCCTGTGCCCCAGCTGGAGCAGGAGTTGCTGTGCTGCTCAGGGACTTGGGGCTGGTTCTCCTGCTGCCAAACCCCAGAGCAGGATCAGCCTCCAACGGGCAATTTCTGAGCTTTAACTCCCAACTCACACATGGCTCGTGCTGGGGCCACATTCCATGGGATGGGTGGGGAGACACAGGTGTGAGGGCTGTGCCAGGGATGCTGCAGTGGGTGCAGGTCCTCCCTGCACTCCCAGTGCCCAGAGCTGTGGACAGAGCCCTGGGACTGGTGCTTCCCATTGCTCTCCCTGCCCTCTCTGCCCAGGCCTCTGGACACAGGGAGGTGAGCAGATGGAGTTGGCAGAACTCAGCCCACGCAGGTGCTCTGATATGATCAGTAGCAATTCACACACTTCTATTTTAAGTGTGAAGGGAAATACACAGACACCTCCATTCAAACGGGGTGAGAGCAGCTCGGCTGCCAAGCATTGTGTCCTTGTCACCTCCTCGCAGCTGTACTTTGCATCTTGCTCTTTTTTTTTTTTTTTTTTTTGAGCTAAAACAGCACGAAATAAGCTGTGCTCTGCTCCACGCACCGCCACGGAATGGAGATCACACACCAGCTGAAATCTGCTGGCAGGACGTTTCAAATGAATCGTGAATTGCACCTTGGAGAGGAGGGGGGGAGGGAAAGGAAAGAAAAAGCAAAAGCTGTGGAAGGAGTTGGCAGGGAGAGATGTGATTAGCGGTCACGGTATCAGCCCAGGAAGCAGGACATCTGTGTCTATCCCGGCGCAGACAAATCACTTCCTCCCGCATCTGTCCCCATTGTCACAGGGACAGCAGCAGCGCTCCCGGCCTTCCGCCGGGACGGTCACTGTCACCACCCCGCCCAGGTGAGCACACAGGGTGCTGTGGAGGGGCAGGAGCAGCGCCTGGGGACAGAACAGCCAGAACCCGGCTGTGCTTCACACTCAGCCCGTAGGACCAGGAATGCGGGAAGGAGGAACGCGGGAGAGCCAAAGCGCGCTGCAAACTGCACACGGCTGGGTAATGCGGAGGATTAATTAGGGAAAATGCAGCTCAGGCTGCTGCGAGGTGAGGAGCGGCAGGAGGGGACTCGCAGCCCTGCACTTGTTGAACGCTTGACAGCACCCGCGAGGTGGGTGTGAGTGCCGTTCTCACACTCACATCAGCCCAGCCCCAGGGATTTGCATTCGCCACCTCGGTTTCCGTCTGTAGAAGCCGCCCCCAGGCAGTTCTGGCCCCGGCAGGGTGAGAAAAGGTGACTGAAAACTGAACTCAGACGCCGGGGGTGTGAGCAGGGCGGGCTGTGGGTTGGTGCTGGGGGGCTGCCAGAGGCACATGGGGCCCCGGAGCACAGGAAGGAATGAGCTCAGCTGCCTGCATCATGCACGTGTGTGATACTGGTGTGATACCAGTGTGATACTGGTCTGAGGTCAGTGTGACACCTTCGTGCTCCAATAGGGTGTTTCTGAGTCCTAGAACACAAACCCCCAGTTTTCTCTATTTGAGAGCTGAGCTGTTCCTCAGCATCACCCTCCTCCGGGGCTCAGCAGCCCAGTTTTATCTGCCTGATGGGGCCTGGGGCTGAGAATTTTTGTCACTCCAAAACCTCCCAGGCGGTCAGACCTCAGCTGTGCAGCACCAGGCAGCTGAGTTAAAGGCAGCTGTAGGGGTGAGATGGGGATGAGGATTCAGGGCCAGGTGTTTGGGTGTGATCCCCTGCACAGAGCAGTGGTGACCACTGCCCCTCCCAGGCACCCAGTGCCCTGCTCACTCAGGCAACAGGTAAGGGTGGGGA